ATCTTCATTTTTATTTGTGCTGTGTGTAGTAGATAGTATAAATATTCTTTGATTTACTGGAATTGTACAGTTCAGAGGGGTAAATCTTCACCAAGTGGAATACTTGTAACTTTTTAAATGTCAAATGCTTATTCTTTTTTACAAAATTCATTTATTTTCTTATGTTGTTTACGTAGTTGAGAAAGGTATAGACCCTTGTGGATGCACAGTTAGTGGGTGAGGAGGGTCGGATATGGAAAGGTAAAGTGGATGAGATGATTGCTTTTTTATTTTTTCCCTGTATCTGAGGTAGAGGAGTGAGAAGAGAGGGTTGCTCCCAGTGGGACCTGCAGCCCATCAAAGGGGTGTCCACTATTTTCCTGCAAGGGTCACTCCCAGCCCTGGATCTTGCACTCTTGAGGTGGCACACTTGGCATAGCTTGACAGGACTTGCCCCCATTCCCAGCACATGCCGGCTGATGGTGCAGCAAAGCCCGGCTAGCTTGCACGTACTCTGGCTCATGCTTGCACCAGTGGATATGGTTGCTTAGCCCAGCCTGGCTTTCGCCCAAACCCAAGTCCTATTAAAGCCAATGGGTATTGTAACCCTGCCGAGTTTGGTCCAGCCCAAGTCTCAGCTTTTATGTTCACCAGCAGGAGCAGTGGCCCAATAGGAGAGCACTCTAGATCCCCCTACCAGGTTCTCCCCCCCCCCCAACCCTGGGATCTGGCATGTTCCTGTATGTGCTGTGGCTCAGTCTGGCATGGGCTGTCTCATCTCAGCATTAGCTGCTGAGTGTTTTAGCCTGGCTCAGCCCGACCTGCCTCCTGTTCCAATTCATTATAGGCAGGTGTTGTAGCTTAGCCCAGCCCAACCTTAATGGGAACTGGCTGGTGTTACAGCCCTACCTTGCCTGCCCTGCACCCCATCCTGGCTCTCACTTTTGCCAGTGGGTACTTTTAACTGGCCCTGGTCTGGTCTGCTTCCAATGTCTGCTTTTGCAACCACCCGCAGGGACTGTGTCCTGACAGAGGAGTTCCGCAAGCTCCTTTAGCAGATCACCTCCCAATCAGAGATCACACAAACTCTTTTGGGTGCTTGGTGCACCTGTCCCAACAGGTTCCGAGGCCTTGCCCAACTGATCTACACCCATTTCGGCTCTTACTGGTGCTTGCTGCAACCTAGCCCCCACCACCCACCTGACCCACCCCAGACCTGGTTCTCATGTGGTTCAGTGGCTGCCAAAACCTGGCCTAGCCTGTTCCACCACCCACTCTAGCTCTTATGAACTCTAGTGCATGCTGGAACCAAGCCCAGTTTGGCACACCCTGACCCAGGCACACACATGCCAAGGGATACTGCAGCCATGTCCAGCCCAGTTTTCTGTCCCCATTCTGGCTCTTGAACCCACCAGTGGGAACCACAACCCGGCACAGGTTTCCTGTTAGCTCCCTGACCAGACCAGTTCCCAGCCACAGATCTTGATGCATGCTGGTAGTTGTTCTTCCAAGCTTGGCATGATGGCTCATCCCCTATCTTGCTTTTTGCCACTGGATGCCATAGCCTGGCCTGGTCTGTCCCCAGTCCCAACTCTTGCTGGTGAGAGTGCGGCAGCCTAGTCCTGCCCAGTCTGTTCCCATCCCTCCCTCTCATGTGAACAGGCAGGTACAGAATCCTAGCCCAACATGGCCAGCATCCTGTCATGGTTATATGCCTTGCCCAGTCTACCCCCTAGTCAGCCCACACACACACATACCAAGAAGTGGAGCAACCCTGTCTGGTCTAGTCCACATCAGCCCCAAATCTAGTACTCACCAGCAGGAATTACAGCCTAGGAGGAGAGTTCCCCAAGTTCCCCAATGGCCCACTCCCAGACCTGGATGTCAGGTGTCAGTAGGTGCTAGGGCCCTGCTCAATATAGTCCACATCCCAGCCTCATCCTTTGTGGGTGCCAGTGGATGCTACAATCCTGCCTGCCTCCACACCCAGTTCTTGGGTGCACCTGCAGGTACTCCAGCTAGGTCAACCTGGCCTACTCAGAACCCCAGTTCCCGTAAGTATTGGTTAGTTCTTTGGTCATGCCTAGATTGACCGCCACCACCCCCAGCTTTTGTGCAAACTAATGGGTATTGAAATCCCACAGGGAATTCTGACACAGATTCCCCTCAAAATCTGCCCCAGACCTGATTCTCTTGCATGCCAGTTAGTGTCATGACCCAGCCTAACATTGCTTACTCCCTGCCCCAATAGTCCCTGGCAGGACTGTGGCCTCATCCCGCCAGGCAGTGCCCCAGCCCTGGCTTTCACATGCACCAGTGAGCTATGCTTGATGCAGTGAAGGATGGCCCAAAGCTTTTGAGCCCTGCACCTGCATGGGAAAACCAGAAGAAGCTCCTGGCTTTGCATCTGCTCAGCTCCAGCCATTGCAGCTACTTGGGGAGTAAACCAGTGGGTGGAAGATCCTTCTCTCTCTCCTTCTGTCTGTATATCTCTTGAGATTCCGGTAAAAATAAAAATAAATCTTAGAAAAAAATTATTACTAAAATTTATTTTTATTTGAATTTGTCCCACAAACATGAAAACTATAATAGTTATGCTTTGTTATAATAAGACTCCACTAGAACAATTTTTTGAGACGCATCAATAAAGCTATCCAGCTATGTGAGCCATTGTATTGTTTACATAGATTGTCAAGTATCCCAGTTCACTCGGAACTGAGAGGCTGCCCAACAGGCAAAATGGAGCTTGAATGTTCTGGGCAAATGGGTGACTTGATCGCCTTCCAGGGAGAACTGCCCCATTTTACATATTCATTACAAAAATATCTTCTGTGTGATCTCTATATAGATGTAATATTCCTGTATTACTTAAAGCAGATCCCTTGTTTTGTACTTTACATCTTTTTATAATATTTGAATTCAATATCTTCTATGTGATCCCTATATAAATATAACATTGCTATATTACATGAGGTAGATTCCTTGCTTGGCATTTTACATCTTTTTATATTTGATTTTTGGCTTAGTTTCTGACTCTTAAGATATGTTAGGAGGAGAGAGACTTCTTGGTTCAGCAGTGTATCTTTGTAGCAGCTTTTGAGTTTTAATGTTGTGCTGATGATTAGTGTTGCTAGATTCAAGCTGTCCAGCATTTTGAGACGTTCACAATCATTGATCTAACTTTCTTTTAGCAGCTGGCACCTACTGTTGTTTGTTGTTACTGGTTGTTTACTGTGCATGATCTTTAAAACTAGACATAGTATCAAAACTAAGACTTTTTCTCCTACCATATTTTGTATTCCTGCCCTATCTGCTTTATAGTCTATGCACTCAGTAAATATAGTGACTGATTGATCCAACCAGATGTGTCAGTGTTTATCTGGCTTTTTAAAGCCTTAATACTATGCATAGTATGCAAAATAAATTAGACCTAGTCTAATCAGAGGACTACTTTTCAAAAGCTGCTTTTGACTTAGGAATGGTATCGTGGAGTCAGTAGACAATTAAGACATACCTTCTAAATGATATTTTGATAGACAACTTCAGATCACTAGTTGTGTAGCTTATTTGCATTCAGGTCTCTTCTGTTGATTTCTGGTGACTAATAATGATGTGTTACACAGCCCTCTGGCACTTTTTAAATGTTGGACTGGGCATATGAACTTAGATATAACTGACCATATCCTCTGAGCATAAGTTATGACTTTATCTGGCTGTGCAATCAATTTGCTTTAAAGTTTGTTGAATCTCAGACTTTGTTTTTTCCTTTGGCCACACTCTCTACATTTGTGAATTTGATTTGAACTTGCAGTTCCTTTCTCATATTCTGGAGAGCAAGGACAATTGGAAAAGAAGTGTTAGCAGCCTGCAGATTGTTGTCTCTGTAGGGTTGTGATAAGCACAGCATTAGTACTGGTCAGCAGAAGCTGATCAGCAGCTCCTCTCATTCCTGTCAGCATTTATTCCACCTTGCGTCCTCTGTGAGACAGCCCCTTATCTTCCCCAGGCTTCATGTCGGTTGTACAAACTGTGACTCCAAATGTACTAGGCTGCGTCCTGAGCTCTTCTATCTGCATACGCGCCATAGAGCGAACAACAGCCTACAGCTGTTCTCTGAACCAACATGTCTAAATTTTGTTTCTAACCTCCTCTATTTTGTGCCATATACTTACAATGCTAATAAGCATTTTATGTTTATTACCTTACTTACTCTACATTGCCTTATTTAATCCATCATACAACGTGGTATAAGTAATTTTGTGTTTCCTATTCTGTTAATACAGAAAATGAGCCATGGAGAAGTTAACCAGATTGCATAGCTCTTGAATGCAAAACTAGAAATGTAACCCAAACAGTCTGGCTTAGGAGTTGGGCCTCTTAAAGTGCTGCTTGAACCCCCCACATTTGCTCCTCTTCTGCCTGCCCTTGCAGTGGTGTCTTCATACTTACATCTTCAGCTGGGAAATGGTGTGTGTATGTCTGCCATTTCACTCTCCAGATGCCTGTAGGAACTGTATTGGGCAGAAGCTCCGAACCAGGGACTCAGTCCCCTTATGGGTTCCAGGAAACCAATTGTAATTTTAGAGATTCTGTGTTCTTTGTAACACTCAGCCATCATGTCAACGTTTAGTTAAAGACCTTGTACAAACCCTAAGTTTCTTCCTTTGCATGATCACTATGTTTGTCTTAATGTGGTCAAACAGCAGTGCTCATTATTGAGGATAAACATTAAAGTACCATGCATGGTTTAAAATACCAGATAAGCTGTTCCATTAGAGCCTTCACTGTTTGCTTAAACCTTGTCACCTTACATTGTCCTTACGCTCCGTTGTCTAAGTTGTCTAATACCCTAGTAGATAATGTATAATGTCCTTCGTTGCAAGTCTCTCACAGGTTCTCTAGACGAATCCTTCCTTATTTCTTTGGGTTGGGTTGTCTGTTTTGTGTGCCCCAGCTGTACCATTTTACCTTTTGCTTCTCTTTTGATAACTGTTACGTTAAGCTGTATTTTATTTTTACAGGGTTATTTCCTTATCAGACTATGAGCTCCTTGAAAGAAGGAATCGTGTCTTACTTATCTTTGTATGCCCAGAGTCTACCACAGTTCCTGATAAACAGTAAGTGACTATCATTTGTTTTTTTTAAAAAAAAGTTTATTTTTATGACAAATTGTATGTATTTCACAATGCAAGTTTCAGAGGGTAGTGAGACTTTACCCTACTCTCCCTCCTGCTCATGTTCCCATCCACCCTTTTTCATTCCTCTTTTTTTTTTTTAATTTTTACAATGACATACTTTGAGTTCACTTTATAATCACAGACTTTACATTCCTTTAGGTAACGGTTTTAACAAATAGCAAGCAGGGCCCGGCGGCGTAGCCTAGAAGCTAAAGTCCTCGCTTTGAACACGCCGGGATCCCATATGGGCACCGGTTCTAATCCCGGCATCTCCACTTCCCATCTAGCTCCCTGCTTGTGGCTTGGAAAAGCAGTCGAGGATGGCCCAAAGCTTTGGGACCCTACACCCGTGCTGTTGCACTCACTTGGGGAGTGAATCATCAGATGGAAGACCTTCCTCTCTGTTTCTCCTCCTCTCTGTATATGTGACTTTCCAATAAATAAATAAATCTTTAAAAAAAAATAGCAAGCAAAAAACACTGTTCCTTGACAGTATAAACAGGCACTAGCTTATTTTACTAAGCATAATGGTTTCCAATTACACCATTTTATTGCAAAAGATAGGATTTCATTCCTTTTGTGGCTGAGAAGTATTCTATGGTGTGTAAATACAGCATTTTCTTGATCCAGTTACCTGTTGATAGACAGCTGGGTTGATTTCATATCTTAGCTAGTTTGAATTAAGCTGCTATAAATAGGGGAGTACAGATAACTCTATCTCATGCTGATTCACTCCCCAAGTGACTGAAGTGGCCAAAGCTGGACTGATCTGAAACCAGGAGCCAGAAACTCCCAACGGATCTCCCTTGGAGGTGCAGAGTCCAAGCCCCTAGACCATCCTCCAGTGCTTTTCCAGGCCGCAAGCAAGGAACTGGGTGGGAGGTGAAACAACCGGGACACTAACAGGCCCCTACATGGGATCTCAGTGCTTCGAAGGCGAGGACTTAGACACTGAACCTTTGCACTAGACCCCTTGAATTTGAAAACTTCCCTAATATGGAGAAAGAATTGGGGAACAATATCCAGGAGGGGCACAGAACTCCCAACAAACTGACCAAAAGCAATCTTCAACACAACACATGATAATTAAGCTCTCTTCAGTCAAACATAAGGAAAGATCCTTAAATGTTCACGAGAAAAAAACGAATTGACATGTAGGGGGATGGCAATCAGACAAACAGCTGACCTCTCACAGGAAACTACAGGCCAGAAGAGAATACAACAACATATTCCAGATTCCAAGAGGAAAAATGTCGACCCAGGACAGCATACCCAGATAAGCTTTTCTTTGGTTTGAAAATAAAATAAAATTCTTCCACAGCAAAGAAAACCTCAAAGAATATACCTCTTCCAGACCCTACGTATAATACTTAAAGATATGCTCTTGACAAAGAAAAGGAGTAACATCTGCCAAAACCAAAGGCAAATGTGAAGAACATCCCAGTAAAATAACAACAGAAGACTAAATCATTGCTTAAATGACAAGACCAAATTACCACCTGCTCTTATTAATCCTGAATGTAAGTGGGTTAAACCCATCAATCAAACATAGATTAGTAGACTGGATCAAGAACCAAAACCAGTCTATCTGTTGCCTGCAAGAGACAGATCTCACCAGCTAAGATTAGTGGAAACTATATCTCATGGATTTTGATATTTTTGCTTTTATTTTCATTTCTTCAAAACGTTTTTTTTCCTCATATTAAGTTATTCAGTGACTGCTAGATCATACAGTAGCATCATTTTCTTCAAGAAAGTTCTTGATTTTCTTTTTCATTTCTTCAGTGACACGTTGCTCATTGGATAGCATGTTATTTAACTTCATGGCTTTGTAAATTTCCTTTTTTTCTTCCTGTTGTTGATTTTGTATTGTGGCTTTTCATTTCAGGGGATATATAGTAACTGTGCAATGGAGACTATCATATCTAGATGTGAGGTTACAATGCAATATACATCTGTACTTCCAGATGAAAGATGGACTCCCAGTGAAACTGTTAACTATATCTTCACAATAGGGTGTTGGACTCTGTCTTCATCCATGCCAGCAATGATTGACTTATAACTGTTTTTAGAAGACCTATACTATTGTAATAATATGGGGGAAACCAGTGGGGCAATGGGATTTCAGGAGGGAGACAGGGATACCCTAGAGTTTATGGAACTATGTCATAAAATAATAATATAAAAAAAGGAAAAAGATTTGTGGCACTTGTGTGTGGAACAGAATTTGAATAAAATCATATAAAAAGTATAAGATTTATGAAGAACAGGTAATTCTATATATAAACAAAGATTAAATGTATTTAAAACTCTTTTAAGATTTATTTGTTTATTTATTTATTTTTATTGGAAAGTCAGATATACAGAGAGGAAGATCTTCCGACCGATGATTGACTCCCCAAGTGGCCACAGCAGTTGGAGCTGAGCCAATCCAAAGCCAGGAGCCCGGAACCTCTTTTGGGTCTTACTTTGCAGGTGCAGGGTTCCAAAGCTCAGGGCTGTCCTTTTCTGAAGGCAGGGAGCTAGATGGGAAGTGCAGCCACCAGGATACAAACCAGCCCCCATATGGGTTCCCTATGTGTGCAAGGCAAGGACTTCAACCGCTACACTACTGCACCAGGCCCTAAAATTTTTCATAAAGGACATTGTTGAGATAATTAATATGATTAGGTTAGTTACTAGATTCCTGAATGGATCATTTTAGTATGATTAAGAGAATTTTTTCCTTCTTAGGAAATGCACAGTGAAGTTTTAAGGGTCATGGAAAGTATACTCAGGTTCAGCAGATGATTGATAACATATAGTTATTAGATAATAACAGATATGTGTAAATATTAATTTGGAAATTTGTTTTATGTGTAAGTCAGCACGGAACCCTCAGTTCTTTATATTACATTTATTGTTTACGTAGACTCAGTTACTGTGTTTATTTCGATAATATTTTTAATCTTGTCTTAATTTAAAAGTAGGACAGCTGTTTCTTTTAACTTTCGTTTACCTTAATAATTACATTCTCTCCTAACTTTTTATAGGTTTATGCTGAATTTTGGAACATGGCCACTGCTTCCCCAAGGTCTGATAGTACTAGTAACCACAGTGGAAGGTTGCAGTTACAGGTAACTGGTAAGTTATTTTCATACCAATTTTGTTTTCTCTGGTTTTTCCCTGATAACTCTTTTGATTCAGCAGACTTATGCCACAGTGTTATTTCTTTAGGACCTACCTACTCTTTTGGACCCACGTTTGCTTTTATGCAACAGGCCAAAAAGGTTAGATAACCCTCGGAAATTATTTCATTGATTCAGTAAATTTTTGTTGGACCTGTGGTGAGTGAAGCAAGAGGTTTATCTCCTCTGTGGTAGAATTTGGGTTTTTGAATCATGCTACCTACCTGTTTCTAAATGACTAATTAGCTGGAGCAGCACCCTAAAGGGCACCTGCCCTTCCGGTTTGGTATTTGTTTAATCTCTGAGATGGAAACACAGGATCTGGCTCTCTAAGAACTCCCTGCACTGTGGGTGAAGTGAATGCATTTTGTCTGGGTAGTCACCTTGGAACGTGGTTCTCAGGGTCCCAGCTGCAACAGGGAGCATCAGCAGAGCAGACAGCGTGTGCAAAAGCATGGAGGAACTTGGTCCGGGGTATTACCTGATTTTTTATTACTGGCTGAAATACATGGTTCATAGAGTAGTCCTTAAAAGCCAGCAGTTTTATTTACTTCTAGGAATTTATGTTGCAAGTATCTAGTTGTTTAAAATGAGAAAAGCCTGACGGGGGAATTCTGGATAATGAAATGGAATGAATCACTTTGTATATTTGTAAGCATGAAGCTCTTAAAGTGCTATTGTTAAATGAAGAAGCAAGATTGCAATAATACGGTGGTTAAAAAAAATAATAGGATTGTGTGCATCCCTGGGATTAGGATGTTAGAAAGGAAGAGATAGATTGTGGTTTCTGTGGTTCTCAATACTGTGAGGTTGTTGTTTGTGTTTGCAATGAATGGAACTGGGACATGTTTACCATCCTGTAAGCCAAGCGGGAGGGGGAACAAAAAGGAAAGAAAAGCAGAAATCCCGAGTTCATACTAATATTTCTAATTCAGAATTAAATAATTCAGAATTAAAACTGTTAGCTCTAAATACCATTTTCTGTTAAAAGAAAAAAAGTTACTTTAATTTGATTTTACATTTGTGTCTTAACTATATAATATTGATTCAAAATTGTAGTAACATCATTTTATCTATTTTTCTCCCTTATGTGTAAAGAACAGTTTCCAAATAATATTTAAATTAGTCAAAACAACAAATTCCCACTGTTAAAATTTCTGAGTTTCCAGCCCTTACGATGAAGTTAGAATACATGCTTCAAAGTAATTTAAAGTAATTTTCTACTGGGTTACAACACCAACTTGATAAACAGGTTCGTTGGTTTCACTTATTTATCTACCTTACCTAGTTTAGTTTTAGAGCCATGTAAGTATGTAGTTCCAGAATGAAAACTAAGTACATTTAGAGAGTTCCTCCTACTGGTCTCCTGCTTGCCACCTCCCGCCCTTGTTTATAGGTTAATATTCTTAGTTTTGGTTTATCCTCCTGTGGCTTCTTTTTGAAAATTTGAGGGTATCTTAAAAGCTCATGGGAAACAGTTGTAAAAGATAAGTTTGTTTGGGTCTAACCACCTTTGGAATCTAAACATATGCAGGGGGAAAAAAACTCATGGGAAATCTGTATTTTTAAAACTACTCATGGATTTCAAATTTTCCTAAAAGATCTCTGAGAAACATATGTGAGATGAAATTTTCCATGTATGTTGACGTATGTGTAAGAGTTCTTAGAAGGAATAATGAAAATCCGATCAGGGTAATGTTAACCACAAAGCAAGTTGGTGAAATCTAGGGAAACAATTGAAAATAGATGTGGACGAAGAGGTTCTAAACAGTCAAGCAATCCCACTCAGTGTTTACCGTTCTGGGAGTCACTGCTTTCTTTGAGATACGGTTATGTTTCTGGGACATATTGGACTTGGACTTGTGCTAACGGCACCGCATTTTAGTGCCTTCCTTGCCTTTGCGGGACCAGTGTTTTTAAAATTAAAACGATTGCAGTCTACAGTCTTGTTGATAGCCCTGATTTATCAAGAAGAAAACTAAGAATCATGAATTAAATGTCTTCTTTTACTAACGGAAAACCAACCACAAGCTTAGGGCTGTCAGGTTACAGTGCCTTTTTCTTAGAGTAACCGTGACGTCTGCATTGATTTTTCTTTCATGTTTAAAATAATCAGATAGATACCTGGTTGACATCGTGCTAGTGTTGCATTCCAGCAGTTTATTATATGTTAACTGAGGTTCTCTGCCAAAAACCAATTCGTATATCCTATTTCATTGCTAGATTATTTTTCTTATGTTCTTATGCATATTGGTTGACAGCAACAGATAATAATGGCAACTTTGATCATGGAAAGTAAGTATGGGAAAAATGAATCACACAGCACAGTGTCTATTATGATATGGCATTTTGTAGTATTGTAATGTGTTTTAGTGATTTTTGTAATATACTCTATATTATACACCTATATTGTAATGTACCATGTATAAAACATAATAGCATATTAAGATATCTTGAATATTTTAAATTTCAGGTTTTCAAACCCAAAGGAATGAAAGAATGGCAAGATACATAAAAAGAATACTATTTGAACCCCTAATGGGCTATTCAATTCATACTTCTAGGTTTTTAATTGTGTATTCTGGTATCCCAATTTCAGTTTTTAAATAAAAATTTTAATTATAAACATCCAACTTTTATTTTAATGACATGAAGTATATGCTCAATTTTATTCGTTTCAAATATCTCAACATCTGTGGAGTAAAAATATTTTTTCCTGTTGAGCTGAAGTGCCACCATTATGTACTAATATCTTCTTATTTCTATTTTCTTCACCTCTCTTCTTATATCTTTGCTGCTTTGTTTTAAATGAAAATTGGAATTTCTTAATACTTTACATTTTAAATTGTCTTTAATATTCTCTAATTTTCCTACCCTTTTATTTGAATTTCAGAGTCCTCTTTTCCTTTGTGTACCAGAAGCACTTGTAATCAGTTGGTGTTTTTGTTAAAAAAGGAAGGCATTAAATAGTAGTTAATAAATCTCTTAGTGTGAAAATTTCTCTTAAAATCTTTTGTATTCATCAGTAGTCTTGTATGGTTATCTTTCTGTGGCTCCTAAATATTTCCTGAATTTATAGTAGGTTTGTTTGAAGAGTTAAGTATTAAAAGTGAGATATTCATTTAAACTTGTCTCTCCCACAATGTTTATGTCCTTTTATGTTAGCTTTTCAATATAAATGTGACTTTACAATATAGGACATTCTCTGTATAACACTAGAGATAGTGGATTAAATGGGGAAATATTCTGATTAGAACGCCTATTTGAAAAGTTAAGGTTGTAATAATGTGCATTTTATGAGCATGTTATAAGTACTTTTGAAAAGTAAAATATAAATATTATAAACGATCTCTTCCCCTAACCTTGCCAACTTATAAGTTTATTGGGCATTTTGCAGTCGGAAGTGTACAGTGAATCTGTTTTGAATGGATCTGTAGTTAACTTGAAAGTTAATGCTGTAAGATCAGTAACAATAGTAGAATAGTAACCATTTGGGTTGTCAGGCATGGCTCAGTGTTTTGCACGTCTTCACTCACCCAGTCCCCAGAGTCTCATGTTATTGTTCTGTTTTGCAAATGAAAAAATTGAGGGACAGAGAAGCTGATAGACTTTGTTGATGTCTCATAACTGAGTGTTAAAACATCAACCCAGAAATGTTTATTCAGAGAGAAAGCTTTGTTTGTGCAATTTTTGAGTTTTTCAAAGAACCTGATAGTAACACTTTAGCCTGGAACACTCTTTGGTTGCCCTGTTTTGCGGGTACTTAAACAGCATCTGCTTTGAGCCTCTCATCACTCTTCAGGTGTTGAGGTCAAGCATTATGCTGCCGTGGGAGCATTTGCCATGTGGCATTTCAGCTGTTTGTGTGACCGTGTGGATGACTGGGATGACTACTGTGCTCTTATATGGCCTGTTTTCATTTCTTTATAAGCAGTGTGTATGACATTGGGGAAGGCCGTCCTCCTCGCATCTCAGACTCTACTTTTCGTAGACACTGATTACAGAGGGGATCTGGGTAAATGTTTGTCAGTGCATATTCAAGGTCTTTTATCCTGTAAAAATGTAACCTCTGCAGTAGTCCTTGTTGGATTAGTAGTAATAAGTGGTATTTAAAGTCATGTTTAGCCTAAGTTAGTTCCTTTACATCTTGGGTAAAAAGATTTAAAATTCACTTTTTCTGAAGGATGATGATTAATTGTCTCATATAGTTTGAATTGGTGAATTTTGTGGTCTGTGAATCATAGCTCAATGAACCCACATCAGAAAAACTCACATGACTTGGAGGCATTCTTCAGGCCTTCTGATTATGCCCCTTCTCTGCAGCTGCGTCATGCAGTCAGTGGGAAGGGTCCTGCCTGCCCGGGAGGTTCTTGATTGGTTAGTACAGAGTACGGCTTTTGGTATGCACTTATTCATTAGTGATTATAATTTTTCTCTTAGTTTCTAGTGCCAAACTAAAAAGAAAAAAGAACTGGTTTGGAACAGCAATATACACTGAAGTAGTTGTAGATGGAGAAAGTAAGAAAACAGCAAAATCCAGTAGTTCTTCTAATCCTAAGTGGGATGAACAGCTAAATGTGTAAGTATCTTACGTAAAGAATGAAATCAGTGTCTTGGAAAGGAAGCTTCTTGGAATTTGTTTTTTATTTTGTGGGCTGACTTCAAAGTAATGAGCCTTTCTCTCTCTCCCAACAGATTACTTAAACTATGAGAAATTTTTGGTTAATTTCATTCTGTAAAAGGAAAGTAGAATAGTAATTTTTGCTTTTTGTTTTCACAAACTAAATTCATGTAGCACTCTTGGAATTTCTCCATCTATTCAGAAATAAATAAGGCAGAAGAAACCAATTATCCTTAATTTAAGGATTTCTAGAATATAATGGGATAAATTTATATGCAATAAAAATATAACAAATACCCTCAGTTTTCTTAAAACTTTAAAAATTGTTCAAATACAAATAAGCAGTGTTGTTATTATTATTATGTCCATGGTAACACTGGATTTTGGTTTGCTAATTATAAACTACATAGTTATATTTAATTACATAGTTATATATAATTAAACTATATATGATCTAATTTCTAAAGTTCTAATATATTTGAAAGCAAGTATTTTTATATTTTAATCATTCAGGTAATATACTGTGTCATAGTATTTCTTAAACTAAATTCATGCTTTTAAAAACATAATGGAAGTAAATGTCTAATATGAGTTATCACTTAGAGTAATCCTGTGTCCTACTGTATTTTTGTTAAAATTTTGCTTTTATAGAAATGTGACCCCACAAACTACATTGGAATTTCGGGTTTGGAGTCATCACACTTTAAAGGCAGATGCTTTATTAGGAAGAGCAACGATAGATTTGAAACAGGCTCTGTTAATACACAATAGAAAATGTAAGTTTTTCTTCTGACCTTTGTTTCCATACAAGTTTATTTTAAACACTTTGAGCATAACCTAAAGTCCAAAATCAAACCAAATGTAGTTTTGTATTCCGGTATCACTTGGGATTACATTTAAGTCTGTGATATTATATGAAATAGATATTTATCTGGCCTGTCTTCATTCTGTAAATTTACAAAGCGGTCTCAGTCCACCTTCTGCCTTGCTGGAAGGGCTTATCAGTCACATGCTGTTTACTTATATACTTGGAAAAATGGTCATTATCTAAACATATTCTACTTTGTTACTTAGTAGCAATTTGAATTGGATAAAATGAATTGTAACTCTGGAGCTTTCTTTTTTTAATTACATAGTTACATGTAGAAAATATGGAGAATACATAAAATTACAGTTAATTCAAAATTTCAGCTCTGTTTAATAATAATTTCTGCTAATTTGATCTTTCTTCTGGTTCACAGTCATGTATTTTGTTCTTTGCTTCTATTTCATCCTTTTTGTTTTAAAGTTTTATTTATTTTGAAGGCACAGTGACAAGGAGGGAGGGAAGCGGTGGTTAACTTTGGGAATGACCACAGTGGCTAGTGCTGGGAATATACAATTCCTGTAGCATAGGTGGTGGCTCAACCTGCTGGCCCCCATTGTTCAAATTTAATAATGTGTGATCGGACGTCCATGGTATTAAAAGTTTCTAGCTTGGGGATGTTTAAGGTAGTTTAGATTTCAATGATTTGTAAATTTCTGATCATTGTATATAAAAATTGGGGGGATATTTACATATACTTATGTTTCAGAGGGAGAATTTGTAGCTTTTAAAATTCTCAAACTGCATAATCTGTTGAAGATTAAAAGCTAGAGTTCCAGTTTAGTGTTTTAGTGTACACACAGTATTATTTCACATCACAATTTATTTAATCTCCTATTGTTTGACATCTAGGCAGTATCTTTTCTTTGAAACATAATACTTGCACATTATTGTGAGATACAGTTCAGTATACTGAAACATGTGCAATGAAAACTTATACTTTTTTTCATGTAGTATATGATGCATTTTTGTAACCCATGGCTGCCCCGCTGGGTTATGAATGCTGCACAGTATAGCCCGTTACCTGTCTCCCCTCTGTTAGCTCCCTCCCTTCTACCCTTCACCTAACCTGTAATAATCACTGTTTGAACCCTGCCTTTTTTAAAATGTCATTTCTTCTTTGTTTCTTTTTTTCTAAAGACATTTACTTGTTTATTTGAAATACAGAGTTTCAGAGAGAGGAAGAGACAGAGAGATCCTGGTTCACTCCACAAATGGCTGCAATGGCCGGAGCTGGGCTGGTGTGAAGCTGGGAGCCAACAGCTTCTTCTGGGTCTCCCAAGTGGGTGCAAGGGCCCAAGCAATTGGACCATCATCTGCTGCCTTCCCGGGACACAAGCAGGGAGCTAGATTGGAAGTGCAGCAGCTGGGCCTCAAACTGGTGGCCATATAGGATCCCAACATCACAGGCAGTTCACAGTGCCTCTGGGAACTTCACTTTTATCTACTTTGTAGTAAATGTACGAATTTCATCATTAGCTGCGGCTGAATAATATCCCATTGTATACACATAAGGCACATTTTTACCCATGGGTGGACACCTACATTGAGTGCTTCTCTTGGCTGTTTTGCACAGATCTTCAGTGCAAATGAGAGGGCAGAATCTCTGTGACATGCTGTTCATTGGAACATTTGCCCAGAGTGGAGTGTCTGGGTTGTAGGAGCTATCTTTAGTTTATTATTATTGTTTACTATTTACTTGAAAGGCAGGTGATAGGGAAGTACAGGGAGGGAGTGACTTCCAGGTACTGGTTTACTCAAATATCTATAATGGCCTGGGCAGAACTTGTCAGGTCTTCCATGCGGGTTCAAGAGTGAAGACATTTGGGCCATCATTTGATGCCTTTCATGGAGTGTTAGCAAGGAGCTACATCAGAAATTAAATAACCGGGAATTGAACTGGTGCTCAGATGTGCGAAGCTGGCATCTCAGGCTGTGAGTTAACAATGGTACCACAGTCCCAACCCGTTATTTTGTTTGTTGAGAACCTCCATGCTGATCTCCATAATGGCTACTAACTTGCATCCCCACCAACAGTAAATAAGAGGTAAGACTGACCACATCTTTGCCAGCTGTTTTTGATTGTAGCCATTTTAACTAGAGTGAGGTGATCTCAGTGTGGTTTTCATTGTGTTTCTCTGAGGTCTGGTTATATAGAGTATTTTCCATATATTTGTTGGCTATTTTTACTGCTTTTGAGAAATATTCAAACATTTTGCACAAAGCTTTTTAAGGATTTGCTTATATTCATTTGAAAGGCAGAGTTGCAACAAAAGAGTGAGAGGGAGAGACAGAGGGAGAGAGAGATATCTTCCATCCACTGAATCGCTTCCCACATGACCACAGCAGCCGGGGTTGGACCAGGCCAAAGCCAGAAGCCCTGTAAGTTCATCTGTTTGCCATATCAATGACAAAGGACCAAGCATTTGGGCCATGTTTTACCACTTTCTCAACTGTATTAGTAGGGATTAGATGGAAAATGGAGCAGCCAGTACCCAAACCGGCAGTTGTATAGGATGTATCCTGGTCTGCTGCAGTACCAGCCACTGCTCAATTTTTTGCCCTTATTATCATCATTATTATTAGTTTAAAATGTTAGAAGCAGAGAGATGGTAACAGAGAAAGAGATGCATGTGTACACACACACACACACACACACACACACACACACACACACACACACACACACACAATTTCCCATCACATCCCAGATACGCAGCATGACCAGGATAGAGTCAGACCTAAAGGAACCCAATCCAGGTCTGTGTTAGCAAAGAGATTCAACTACTTAAACCTTTGCTCATTTAAAAACTTGATTTATTTCCATTGATATTGTTGAGTTCTTTTTGAATGTTTTATATTCTGATTATTATTTATTCTTTATCATGGGCCTGGTTTGTATAAATTTTCTACCATTCCTGACACTTAGACAGTTTCTAGCCATTCACTCAAACTGAAGTTCTTGTTCGAATCTGTAAATCTTTTTGCTAATTATTTTCTGTCCTTAGAGATTTTTTTTTTCATCAATTTGCAAAGGTAGGTTTACTTGGTTAAGGGTTAAAATGCTAATGCTTTAAAATAGTAAGTTGATTCTTTTAAAAAGTTCTTTCTGAAATTACACATCTTATTTAAAAATCAGTTTTTGATATCCTTTCTGGATATCAGGAACTGTGACTCAGAAAACTGAAGTATTAATTATTATAGTTTATACTACTATTAGCTGTGCTTGGTTTGATGTATTCTGGTTTTTAAAAATACATTCTTCTGAAGCTGTACTAGCTTGATCCTCTGCCATGGCGTCTTTGTATGGGAAAGTCACGTAATTCATCTCGGTACAGAATTAATAGGTATTGTGGGCATGCGGGACCTGGTTCGCATTATTGTGTAACCATGCCTCTGTTGTTAGACATTTAGATTGTTTCCAGTTACAACAGATTGTACTAAACCTGTGTATAAAATGATAATACTATAATGATCTATAGATCATTATTATTATATAATTATCAGTATGCTTTGAATGAGTCATTTATAAACTGAATATATTTTCTTCTACTACTCATTTGCTTGTTGAAATGGCACAAAACTTGAGGACAAGCCAGGCTTGGAACTCAGCCCCTGACTCTCACCTGGGCAACTGGGGCCCACCTGCTTAGCCTACTGTCCTTAGGGTGTGCATAAGAAACTGAATCTTGGTAGTAGAACTTACATGTAAACCCTGGCTTGAGAGATGGAAAAAATTCAATAGATGTTTTAATAACTAGGCCAAATACCTGCCACCAAATTTCTTTTTCTTATAAAAATACCAGTTCTTACTTACCTAATTACTATAACTGAATTACCTCTCTTAAGATTTTGTCCCTGGCCTGGCGCAGTGGCCTAGAGGGCTAAAGTCCTCGCCTTGAACACACTGGAATCCTATATGGGCACATGTTCTAATCCCCACAGCCCTCTTCCCATCCAGCTCCCTGCTTGTGGCCTGGGAAAGCAGTGGAGAATGGCCCAAAGCCTTGGGACCCTGCACCCATTGTGGGAGACTGGAAAGAGCTCCTGGCTTCAGATAGGCTCAGCTCAGCTCCGGCTATTGCAGTCACTTGGGGAGTGAATCATCGGATGGAAGATCTTCCTCTCTGTCTCTCCTCCTCTCTTTCTCTCTCTCATATACATATACCTGACTTTGCAATAAAAAAATTAATCTTTTTTAAAAAAATGATTTTGTTCCCAGAAACAGTTACATTTTGCAATCCTAGATGTTCAGATGTTAATGTGAATTTGAAATGGGAAAGACATAATTCATACGTTATCCTTTCTTCTTCTATTTTTGCAGGGTTTTTTTTAAAGACTTTTTTTTTTTTTAATCAGAAAGTCAGATATACAGAGAGAAGGGGAGCCAAAGAGGAAGATCTGTCTGTTGATTCACTCCCTGAGTGGCTGCAATGACTGGAGCTGAGCAGATCCAAAGCCAGGAAGTTTTTCTGGGTCCCCACGTGGGTGCGGGGTCCCAAGGCTTTGGGCCATCCTCCACTGCTTTCCCAGACTACAAGCAGGGAGTTGGATGGGAAGTGGAGCTGCTGGGATTAGAACCTGTGCCCATATAGGATCCCAGCACATGCATGGTGAAGACTTCAGCCATTAGGCTATCATGCTGGGCCCTATTTTTGAAGATTTTTAAAATTTCATCCCCCTTCTTGATGCAATATTAATAGTGAGTTGTTAAAGTCATCCATAATCTTAAGTAAAACCCATAATTGACCATCAGAACTGATACGACCATCCTCTCCCCCATGACAGACATGCACACATTACAGCTAGTGTATTAGAGGAATTCTCTCGCTTCCTTCCATGGAAGTCCTAGTGAGCTCTCACCCATTAACCTTCGTTTCTGTGTAACGACTTGGTTGGTTAGTGTCCAAA